CAGATTGATGTTGTACCCCAACTTTGTGGGATGTTGCATTTTGTTTGGTAACAAAAATTAGGTTGCATAGGACAGTGCATTTTGGTAAATTTCTGACATAATTACAAAATATTAACGTCTAATAATGATACAACTTGATGTTGTGTGGACATTACCAATTTGACGTCTATCAGACAGTGATTTTTGGTTGCCATACCTGACAAATAAATGTCAGTATTTGATGTCAATTTGAAGTTGGTTTAATATGTTGGCTGTACGTTGGGTATTGGTCATTTTCCAACATTAAAGTCATCCAAATGCCAACATCTTTTCACATTGTTATTGGACGTCAAAATAACACTGTCCTTAGATGCTGGCAGCATAAATCTAACCTAATATTAATGTGTTATGATGTTGTGTGTTTGCTGGGTGTATTCATTCTGTGCCAGCAAGAGGCACTTTTAGTGCTCCAGGAGTGGTTTCCCAGCAACGGCTGTAAACGAAGCAGCCAGATTAAAGATATGCTCTTACAAAATTACCCACAACTCATTTTGAATGAGTATACAATGAGTACTTTTTATTTTTTTTTTACAATATTTGATATTTTGATATTTTGTGATTTACCAGACATGGCATCAGTTTTCTTGCACTATGAAAGACACTAAACAAGAAAAAAATATTGAATAATAAGCCCATTTGTTACATCAACTCCTTACGTCAAGCAAATTGTGCTGAAATCAGGACAAAATTGTGTGATCTAAACAGGGCTTTAGTCTTCTTTCCATGTTGTTTTTTAACAGTTATATTGTATATACTGAATAATGATACTACACTAAGGCATTACAGTTATTATTTATCACATTTAAGAACATGTCAGAGGCCCACATAACTCATTATACACAATTATAACTACAGACATGAACTGTATCTAAAATATTTTGGCTTGGTGCAGAGGCATTCTAATGCTATTGTCATTGTAACCATTCAGAACACCTTGAAAATGGTCTGCTTAACAAAGATAACTGCTTAACAAACCTGTTAAATCATTCAGAACATGTTCGCAACATGATTAACAACTATCCAAAACATTCCAGTAACTGCAACAGTTTATCAGAACACCACAATAACCATCTATTACTTCTTAGAACAGCGTAGCAACACTTAAAAATCCCAAATACTCTTAAACTCTCACAAACAAACAAAATGTTTTATTCATTTATTTTTCTTTCGGCTTAGTCCCTTTACTCATCAGGGGTCGCTACAGTAGAATGAACCACCAACTATTCCAGTATATGTTTTACACAGCACATGCCCCTCCAGCTCCAACCCAGTACTGGGAAATACCCATTAACTCTCACATTCACACCAACACTCATACATTACAGCCAATTCAGTTTATTCAATTCACCATAGCGCAACCCACACAAACATGGTGAGAACATGCAAACTCCACACAGAAATACTAACTGGCCAGCTGGGACTCGAACCAGCAACCTTCTTGCTGTGAGGTGATATTAATAACCACTGCACCATCGTGCCACCAACAAAATGTACCTTATAAATGTCACACTTGGTCCGTTTATTAACTACATATTTCCATATCTATAGACAGAAATCTCATTCTAAAACAATGCAAATAGATATGGCTCAACAAGAACCTATGGTTTGAACCCGTGTTGACTCTTGAATAAATTTGCCATGCTTAGACACTTTTAGGACCATCTAAATGCATTTGCACATAATCACAACCAAAGGAAACACTGCTAAAATATTTATTATTACAGCTTATTTATTCAAAAGCTGTATTTGAACAAGCGGTAGACAGATAAAGATGTGGCAGCCGTACAAAAACCCAGCAGGATTAGCCTTTGATGAGTCAACTGCTTTACTGTGATTTGAACGCAAGATTACAAAATAGAGCCCCATTATTGCTACAAAATCACTTCCTTTTCATTTATGTCACGAACAAATGTTTACTGAGGAGGCTGAAGATGATTTCACCTCAATACGAATGCAGGGACCATCTAACAATTTGCGAGATGTGACACAAACATAAACCCAGAAAAACCCTTTAGCAGCCCCAATTTTAGCTCAAAATAGATCAATATGAGCTGGGTAGATTATGTACAAATTGTAAAACATCACTGAATACAAACTGAATGTAGTTAGGAATGTGGAAAGTTTACCCTTCATAGTCTCACAAGATCTTGGGGGAAACGGTGGATTGTGATAGCACAGACCTGATTATCTATTCATTCATTCATTCATTTTCTTGTCGGCTTAGTCTCTTTATTAATCCGGGGTCGCCACAGCGGATTGAACTGCCAATTTATCCAGCAAGTTTTTACGCAGCGGATGCCCTTCCGAAACATCCACACACACATTCACACACTACGGACACTTTTAGCCTACCCAATTCACCTGTACCGCATGTCTTTGGACTGTGGCGGAAACCGGAGCACCCAGAGGAAACCCACGCGAACGCAGGGAGAACATGCAAACTCCACACAGAAACGCCAACTGAGCCGAGGCTCGAACCAGCGACCCAGCGAGCTTCTTGCTGTGAGGCGACAGCACTACCTACTGCGCCACTGCTTTGCCCTAAGATTATTTTTTTATTTATTTATTTATTTTATTTTACCAGGAAAGTCTCATTGAGATACAATATTTGTTCAACCAGGGAGTCCTGGAATTAGTCCAGATGACATATAACCTACACACACACAAACAAAAAATGAAAAATTGGATATAAAGAATATTAAAATTGGGCCGAAAAGTAGCTCAGTGGTAAGCACTGTTGCCTCACAGCAAGGTTGCTGGTTTGAGTCACAGCTAGTCAGTTGGCATTTCTATGTGAAGTTTGCATGTTCTCCCTGAGTTTGCGTGGGTATCCTCCAGGTAATCTGGTTTCCACCACAGTCTAAAGACATACCAGGATTACAGCTGGAAGGGAATCTGCTGTGTACACATATTCTGGAATAGTTGGTGGTTAAATAAAAAGGAAAACTAATGAATGAATGAATATTAACATTTGACAATAATTATTTTGACCCATACAATGAATTTTTATACACACCCTCTAAGTTTATTTAGTTATGGAAAGAATTTAAAATGACATTCAGTGTGTTATTTTAATTTAAGGTAACGTTCTCAATCTTTTTACTCAAAAGTATATAAAGAGAGATTCTCACACAAGTTTTGATCCTAAAAAAGCATAAAACTGATGCAGCTTTAGAAAAAATGTACACATTCCCATTCATAGAGCCTTGTTTCGAATCAGCCTGATCTTATGAGGAAATGTAACTATTTTGTGTTTTGTCAGTTTAGTGGTTGGTCCTTACATTCGTGAGTTCAGTAGTACAAAAATGTACAATTTTAAAAAAGATGCATGGCACTCAACCACACCCCTAAACCCAATCGTCATGTGCGGATAAGCGAATTATACTAAATTTTACAAATAAGATCATACAACTCAACCACTTAATCAAAAAGTTACGAATACCCGCTACGTAGTGTTGGATCTTTGGTTTTCAACACTCTCTTAACCAGGAAAAAAGTGCAACCAATAAGATAAACAGAAAGTTTTGACCACCATATTTTAAAGTAGTAACTCTACTCGTAATCCCTGTTCAGACAAATAATCCCTGTTCAGACAAATTCTGCATGTGATTATTGTGTTTCAAATTATGAGTTCCCCTCAGTTTGGGGAATTTCTATTCTGAAGAATGGAAACAACTTCAAATTATAAGGTTGTGCTTCAGATAATGCACATACAGTTGAAGACACAATTATAAGCACTCCTGTAAACTTTTAATTAATTTTCAAATATTTTCCAAGTGATGTTTAACAGCGAACATTTTTCACAGTATTTTCTATTATATTTTTATCTCATGGAGAAAGTATCATTTCTTTTAGTTTGGCTGGAATAAAAAAGAAGAAGAGATTCTTTAACGTACAGAAAGTCTGTAAAGAATTTGGTGTTATTCTTGGTCTGCTGAAAACAATTTAACAACATTACATATCAAATCAATGGAAAACTGTGTAGCCCGTGAACCAGTTCTTAGAAGGCTAACCCAGTTAAACCAACTTCAACCTAGAACTATCAATACACTAGATTCAGGTTGCTGATATAAAATATATGTATGTGAAGAGGGGAGCAACGTATGTAAAAACTCTTGGGGCCATGTTGACCAATGTTATTATTGCATTTTTAATGTTGATACTATTTTTACAGTTACAGTAAATTTCAGCATAGGTTTAGTTTGTTTTATTCATGTTTTTGTTAGTTTTGCAAACATACTTCTATTAGGTTTTTACTCATTTAGTTTTGGTTTAGGTTTAAGTAATTCAAGTTTTTTTTCAAGTTGTTGCTGAGAGGCAATGTTTGTACCGCTTACAATAACTCATAGGCAAACCTCTTATTTATAAACAATAAATAATAATTTGAACAGACACTGAACTCAAACCACAAAAATACACAAAATAAAACAAAAAATTATGACGAATTTTGACAAACTTCTTCATATTAAAGATGATGTACAGTAAAAAAAACATGCCTAGTTTTATGTATTTATTAAAGTTTATGTAAAAAAAGATGTTTAAATTTGTACCTTACTGATAAGTTTGGCTATAAAACCGACATCTATTATTGTTTTTCTGAACTCACAGAATTAGTTCTTATTACTTTTGAAAATGAAACTTACTTTTTGCTAATTATTACATTATTGAAGTTAGTTTTTCAGTAATTGTACCCTCAAAAACTGCTTATTTAACTGCTCAAACAACACAATTCTTGAGTTTTTAATCCACTTAAATTTGCTCACTTAAGGTAACAGTTTTAGTCTTCATATTTGTTAACAAAAAAGCCTTGATACAGACAAAGGTGATACAGTAAATAGCACTTACAGTGGTTGCCCTATGATTTCAAACCATTGAATCACTATAATTTTACTATTATTTAGCACCATTGTGTTTGATTGACCCCATATTTGCAATGACATCTAGTAAGCATGCGGACTCACCTGGGATCCTTCTGAATGCTGTCGATGGATGGTGAGCGGGCCAGGTTGCCCTCGGGTGGCAGTGCTGGGCCGGATTTGCTGTAAGGAGATTCCACTGATGAGCAGTACGGCAGCGTGCGGTAAGTATCCGTGTAATTGGCACTCTGGCCGGATGCATATCCGCCTCTGGGAAATGTTCCTGTGGCATTCTGGCTTGCTGTTCGCTGCAAGGGTACGGAGTCAACACCAGGGGAGGACGGGGCTATGGCAGGAGGAGAGTAGGGACAAAACAAGAAGTTCAGGACCTGCTCACAAAAGTGGTTCACTAGGTCTAGGTAGAGGAACAATGACAAGACAAGCAGACAGAGGCAGGATACAATAAGAGATTGACGGGAGAAAGGAGAAGAAAATATGATGGCAGTGAGAATGACAGCAGTAAAGGTTCTTTCAACAGTTTCCCTGTATCAGGACTTGTACGATTAATGGCACATTTAAAGACACATTTCATAGCAAATAGAAGATGACAAATGAATTAAAATGACAACTAAACTTAAAATATGAATTGTTTTTGGGACAAACTTAAAGGAACACTACACCTTTTAAAGTGTTAAACAGTTTACCTGAACCATTTTTGAATCCATTGAGTTGATTTTTTTGTTCTGGCAGGGTCATTTTTCGCTTAGCCTAGCTTAGCATAATGAATTGAACCAGATTTGACTACTAGCAGATATAGACAAAATAAAGTTTTGTTAATTTTCCAATTTCAAGCTCGAGTCTTCTGTATTTACATTGTGTAATAAAAAATTATTTTACTAAAAACTATACTCTCATTCTATACTCTCATCTTCTCTCATGTATGATTTGATGTGCTCTACCAACCAAAAAACCAACATTTTCCATTCAGAGATTTACAGTTAACAATAGTCCTTATAAATATATCATTTATAAATCCTTTATGATTATGATTCTTGCATAATGCACTGCAAACTAAGCTGAGGCGTTATAAGGATAAAAAAAATATTGTACCTATTTCATGCTATCATTCATTCATTTTCTTGTCGACTTAGTCCCTTTAATAATCCGGGGTTGCCACAGAGGAATGAACCGCCAAATTATCCAGCACATTTTTACGCAGCAGATGCCCTTCCAGCCGCAAACCTATCTCTCGGAAACATCCACACACTCATTCATACACACACTCATACACTACGGACAATTTAGCCTACCCAATTCACCTGTACCGCATGTCTTTGGACTGTGGGGGAAACCGGAGCACCCGGAGGAAACCCACGCGATCGCACGGAGAACATGCAAACTTCACACAGAAACGCAAGCTGAGTCGAGCCGAGTCGAGGTTGGAACCAGCGACAGCACTGCATACAGCGCCGCACTATATGCTATCAGATACTTATAAAAGTTAACACAGGTGCCTCGTCAGAGTCTTAGCAAGAGAATTACAGTTATTAATAAATTATCCATTTATAAAACAAATGATCAACGAATCATTATGATTTTACCTCAGAGCTTGTGTGCTTTCACTTTCTCTATACCATTCTAGTTCTGGTGAGTGTTTTGAATAGAAGTAATTAGAAGGTTTTAGTACACGATGTACCTACAGAAGTCTCAAGCTATTTTTGGAATAAATGCTAAGGACCCAATCCTAGTCAATTCATTATGCTAAGCTACGCTAAAAGTGACCCTGTCAGAGCAAGAAAACTGCTGAATGGATTACAAAATGTTTCAAAACAACTATAGTTGGCAAGTTTAACTTTAGGATACTTAAGCCTTTTTCAAAAAAGTTGGAGTGTTCTTTTAACTACAGAAGTGATCAAAGGGTTATGTTTATTTTTGCATTAATGTGTCGGACTATATATATATATATATATATATATATATATATATATATATATATATATATATATATATATATATATATATATATAGCCATTTAGCAGTGAAGACTGGAACAACAACTCTTGAAATGTCATTAATATAAACTGTATTAATATATATTCAAATAGAACCAGTTGTATTAAATTGGAATAATATTTTACAATATGAATATTTTAATATATTTAAAATACAATCACAATAACTGAAATTAACTGTTACTATCATAATTATTAGTTTATTTATAAATATATGTAGATAATATAACATCTATCATTTTCTATGTTGAATTTAAAAATGCTCTATAAAACGCTAAAAGGTTGTCCAAACCTTGAAAAGATTAAATAATTCATCTTGATGCCAGATGACTCACAGATTGACCTCACTTACGCAGGCTCTAATTATAGTTGTGACAACTTCAGAATAAACCTGTGATAAATGAAAATAAGCACGTTGAGACAAGAAGGCTGACTGCACCAGATGTAAACTCCAAAGGTAGATCACTTAAATGTGCAGTGTTTGGTTTTTAACATATTGAGGTGACAGAGTGTATCCGTTTTGCTCAATACAAGGGTAATGTGGCAGCCACTGTCTGCTAGACAATCACAGTGGAGTGTCTCATAAATCTGCAGTGCCAGACGATCAATGGCAGGCTTCTGAGTCTTTACCACAACACTGCCAGTGAAGCCGTAAAACAGGACTATTAGTCACCAAACACAAAGTGCACACCGGGCCATCCATGACTCTTCAGAGAAAAAATGTTGCGCCCGCTCAGTGTAGGCTAACGATAATTAGACAGACTATGAGATTAATGGAGACTGCTTGGAGAAGAATAAAGGAGGAGAGAGAGCAAGAAACAGGCTGAGAGAGGAATGGCTGCTTGATAGATTGAATTTATGCTTCCTGAGCTGGAATATATAATGTATAAAAGACGGACAGAGGTGTTACATTAAGCTTTCCATATTAAACAAAACGAGCTATAGATTTTCTAATGGCCATATCTAGCTAGCTTAGCTGTGCATACAGCATGCCCTGCCAATACAGGTGAACATGCAGGATATAGTTCACAAACAGGGCTTGACATTGACATTTTTAATACCAGCCACTGTGGCTAATAAATTTCCAACATCTAGCCAAAATTGTTTTTGATGGGAAAAAATATTTAACATGCATGAATTTACATTGACATGCTTAACTGACTTGATTTAGATTTTGTGTTATGTCCACATGCCTCCTCAATCATTCCCTGTTGTGTATGAGCTTGCTCAATGTGCATGAGCAAATCAGTTATGGTTTCGTAGTGTCACACTGCAATTAGTTTTTATTTCATATGACCTTTCAGAGCACAAAATTAAGGAAGAATAAGAAAAATTTTTAGCCACAATTTTTAAATAATGTATAAAAAAGCAAAATACAACTGTATGCGTGTACTTTTTATTCAACAAAACTTTTCTTTACAAAAATTAGAAAAATAATTATTGTACTAAAATTATTTGTCTAAAATATGCACAGTAATCTGTCCTGGCTAAGGATCTCAGATCACCAGTTAACTACACATAATGAAGAGTTTATCTCCTAATAAGATAATAAGATAAAAAAGATAATTAAACCATATTAACAAAAATAACCATAAGCAAAAGAACAAGTCACACCAGTTGCGTTTGCAGACGCATTTGTTACACGCAAGAAAACGGGAGCCTGTACGCTTTTTAAACAGTCGTGTGCATCACAACGCTTACAAATAATAATTTGCAAGTCACATTAATTGCAAATAATAATTTATAAAGCTATAATGCAACTGTTGATGAAAATAATGCACATTTACAGAAAGATCTGGTCCTAAATTTAACTTTATGCAGTTTTCAACTCATTCTTCTAAACAAACAAACGATACAAAACAACATACTGTATAGTTAAAGCCAATTGTTAGGCTTCAGGAAATTATAAATACAGCTACAGTACTACACATTTCCTAAAAAAAAGAAAAAGAAAAAATGAACACGTGGAATATGGTATTTTGTTTTTAATTTAATCACATTTTCAAAGAATTGTTCCAAAATGTTAAAATCAATCAATCAATCAATCAATCAATCAATCAATCAATCAATCAATCAATCAATCAATCAATCAACTAACCGACCAACCAATCAATTAATTAATTAGCTAATCAACTAACCAGCCAACCAATCAATCAACCAATCAATCAATTAACTGATCAACCAACCAACCAACTCAATCAATCAATCAATCAATCAATCAATCAATCAATCAATCAATCAATCAATCATTTCAATCAAATCAACCAACCAACCAATCAAACAACCAATCAACTAATCAACTAACCAGCCAACTAATCAACCAATCAATTAATCAATCAATCAATCAATCAAACTCTGTGTTGACAAAACTTTAAATACAAAGCTATCATTTCTAAGATAAATGTATTATTATTTTTAAATTGGCATCAATGGTTTTCACATAATGTTTTCCCCGTTGCAAAAAAAACTTCCTTTACAGTGGAATAAAGTTCTTTAGATCATAAAGCAACATTCGCATTAAAGGAAAATGGTTCTATGAAGGTTCATTGGGAAACAAACAAATGTTCTTTAATTATGTGTAGACCTTACTTTTTGGTTCAATTCAACACATATGCATAGGCAATTAAAATTGTTTTTTTTTTACTATTGTTTGTACAACCAAAAATGTGGGTCATTTCTAAAAGTAGACCACTGCACATTTATTTGTTTTCACCATAATGATGCGGCGAGCGATGATCCTCTTGGCTCAGCTTGAGAGTGTGGGTGTTTGGCTTTGGGTGTATCTCACACTCATTACTCCAATGTGAAGATTTCATCTAACTCAAGGTCTCTAACCGATTTAGCACTGAAGGCCCTGAGGGCTTGATTTACAGCTCCGGCTGAATGCAAACACCTTTAGAAGGTGAAAATCTATCGGTATGTCATTAATTAACTAGCAAAAGAAGGCTAATTAAATTTCTGTCTGTACCTTAAAGCAGTGTTACCAGTATTGACTGTTTTGAATTTCATTCGATCTTGAGAGATCAGATGGTAAGGTCACATATTGATGCAGCTAGTGATAACAAATGTCATTATTACGTTACATTAAAAGTTCCTAATTTTGTTTTGGAGTTCTCCTGTAATAGATTTACATCCACCCAAAGTGAGTTCCCATACTTCAGAAGCACACGTAAAGTCTATTTTAAGTGGGAAAAAAAAAAGAGACAAAACACTTAATTTGATCAATCATACTGTAATCATCAATATCTGAAGGACTTTAAGTTGCAGGAATACCATACTAGTCGGAAAGAGTTTTACAAAATAACCAATGCACTTCAACAAAACCCCTTTATTTTCTCTTACAGAAGTGCAACATAACGAAAGATTCTGAAGGCCAACACTTCTAAAGGTTACTCAAAAATGAGTAGAAAGGTTACTAAAAAATGCAGAGGCTCTCACTTCAGTACTATGCTCTCAATAGACATCACTAGACTCGCACAGGTAGGGTTGTGTATCTTTTTATTTTTAGCAATTTCGATTCCAATTCTGCTT